TTTTTCAAAAAACTACAAATCTACAAAATTATCAAAAAAAGTTAATTTACGGTATGGCAAGTTCCGACAATTTGCCTTAAAGCACTATGCCATGCACCACTAGTTAATGTACTTTCTTTTATTATTTCTAGTATTGCAGCTATGACTGATAAAAACTTTATTGAATACAAAACGTATTGTATACAAAACAGAAGATAAATCAGTCAGGATCTTTAGATATCAATCGTGCTTTCTAAGTATTTTCTTTCATGGTTTCTGTGATAAATGTTGAAAAAAAACAGCAAAATGGTCGAATCACAAATTACAAGCGCTCCGAACCTTTCGCCAGTATTTCACCGTCTTTGCAAACGACACAAAGAAAAAAAGCTATTCATTTCAAGTTTAATTTAATACTGCGAAAGTGTTTCGAGAAATTTTGCTATTCAATAATTCAACATAACTTGGATATTTTTGAGTACCCTGAATAAAATGTACGCTTTCGAATCAATATGAAATAATAAAATCTTTAAGTCATTTTTTGAAGTGCTATATAATATATACCTTTTATTAAAATATTCATTATATGGTACATTTAATATTATTTAATATAATATGAACACCGGAATGCGGGATTAATATAATAATGCATCAGAATTGAAATGGTATATAACTTTTAGTATTATTAAATTTTCTTTGAAATATTTTTTTATATATACCATATGCATTGCATCGTAATGTAGAATTATTTTAAAATGGCATCATAAAGCTATATTAAATTTTTTGATATCCTTCGAAGCGGTGGCTGAAGTGCAAATAATTTTTCAAATGTATACGAGGGAAATGTATACGACAAGTCCAAATTGAAACAAATGCAGCTCATGAAATCATTAAATGCATGCATATTCTCACATAAAAATTATACGATGCTTTTGATTTTAATGTGATAATTTATGTTATGGCATAAGCTAGCTGAAACTCGGTTGCATATCTGTAACTATGATTCATACGAAAGAAACCCAGAACCATATTGTATAGAAAACAAAAAAAGCATTTTTATACAAGAAATATGTAGTTCAATTATAGTTCAACCAACCAATTCAAGTTTACCATTTTATAATCTTGATTAAATGCGACAACTTTTGACAAAACTTGCCAACATATTTTAATACATTCTTTTAAATAAGGGTCTTTCAAAGTCGACTTATTTTGAAAATTTTAAAATCATAGTTCAACAAAAAGTCTTAATTCTAGAAAACCTGAAGCGATTGTATAATTATTTTTAACTGTGGTCTTAGAAATGTTATTCACGGTTACGGTACCAAAGTTTAAATTAACAAAAGTAATATTAAGCAACTGATGAATGTTCACAATTTTACGAAAGCTCTAGCTAGGTTGCACTTAAAAGCTCATAACTCGTGAGTTAAATTTTTGTTCTAATTTTTTACAGTCTAGTTACGGGAATACTATCACCAGATCTCGGCTTCGGCCTTAATAAGGATATATTTGAATTTTATTTCTCCCAGGCGCTTAATTGTTTCCAAATTCTAAATGTTTTAGCTCTTATTATTAACTTTTAGATAGTGCGCAACTCAATCAAATCTTCGTATGGAAACAGCATGGAAAAATTTTTAAACATTTTAAAAATGTTTATTAGGTATAACTTAGTGACAAATGAACTAAAAGTGACAATTCGTGTCATCTTTTATTGAAAATTCGACGCTCTACAAAACACAGTTTTTTATAATTTATTTTGTAGCGCTTCGAATTTTGAATAAAACTCATACATTTGTTAGCTAAGTTATATCTTAAAAACATTTTTAAAATTTTTGGAATTTTGTTCATGCTATTTCCATACAAAAATTTGATTGAATTGCGCACTAGCTAATAGACAATATTAAGAGCTAAAACTTATGGAGAATTTTGTTATCAATATGGAGGCATTTGAGCCCCTGGAAGCAAGAAAAATCGAAAATGTCCATATTAAGGACCATCCTAGTATATATTATACTGAAATACTAAAATTTATATTTTTTTATTGATGCTACGCTCAATCTTTATGCTTCATTATTATATATTATCAGCATCAAATTCAAGAATACATATATGTAAATATATATATATATATATATATATATATATATATATATTTACTTATATATATATACTTATATATATTTACTTATATATTTATGTATGTGTGTGTTTATATGTTATCTGTATGTTACGAGAGTTAGTTCTCATCCTGCGCATTCTATGTATGCAAGTACTCTGAGCAGGGTTAAATCCAGAAGTTCTCAATCCTGTTATATATGAATTTGTACATTTACATGCATATGCATATGTATTTAATATCATTAATGTAGTATATTTTATTCTGATTATTTTGCATTCGATATTAACGCATTTGATCCAAGCCCTATAACATCAATTTTGACTTAGATATGTGGATTTATATATGTGCTTTATACCAACCTTTCATTCTATTTTGAATAAATGTTGAGTACCTAATCATTAACAGTTTTGTCTTCCGTATACATATATTTCTCCTAAAATATTGATAAATATCAACCAAAAAGTTTAAGTACAAGTCTCGAGCCCTACGAACCGTAGTAGATATATTTTGGAGCCTCAGAGCGGCCGAGCGCGGCAGCGATCGTGGCGGAACACACCCCACTCAGTGATTCCCATTACGTCATGTGACGTAGCGGGAGCCGGTTTCAAGGTCACTCGATACGATGCCACAGAGCTACGCCGTCCGCCCGCGCTTCCTCGTCCACCGCATGTAGCACGTAGCTGGCACGTCTTACGTTATGCACGTTTTACGCAAGAAGGAACCAGGGCTGTTACGAATCTTTTCAAAGCAATTCATGCTAAAAGCGTGTTCATTTGATGGCACTTAGTGTTACTGAATGTGATATAATTTGGGAGGATATCGATACTAATAGGCCTGGGAAATGCTAAATAAACACTTATTCTTTACACATAAGTTCCACAAACACAAACACACACACACATATATATATATATATATATATATATATATATATATTAACAAAGTCTAATAATCGGGCATAACATCAATAAAAAACATGAATTCCTTTCAAAAATTTATTTTAAATCCATACGTTTTGGCTATAATCCTAGCCTTCATTCAGTGGAAACTAAAAATAAAATTAAAAACTAAAACAATTGAATAGGAGTGAAAAGAAAAAATTTAATAGTAAATAGTACTTACAATCAGTAAATCTTAGTGTTAAATTGGAAAATTTTAATAATCCATGGTATCAGGATATGGTAATGCACTACACTATGTATTATAAACATTAAACTTGAAATTACACAATATTTTCACAAAAATATTAATTTTAAAAAATCACAAATAGATAGTGTGTTATTCGTAGGCTGGTTGAAGATACAATGGAGAAAGACATTTTTAAAAAAATATTTTTACGAAGATTCTACACATGTGTGGAACGAATTGCGAATCTTTTGCGCGACGCTTTTATTGTTTTGTAAGAAATTTGGAAATGTTATCTAAATAAAAGAGATTTGTATAGCACAGCGTGTTAAGTTCATTCCGTTTATTTATTGTCATATTGTTATAAATAGTTAAAAAAGATCCTTCTATAATTCTTCGTTTGAATAAATTTTGTTCGAATTGTAGTACAGTCGGGTTAGAAAAGTCCATATTGTGTTTTAAAGAATAAATATGGTCTGCAAGTACAATTTTGAATTGTCTCGGATTTTTTTAATTGTTTTTATGTTGTTGTAAACGGTTATTCAAGTTCTAGCTAGTTTCTCCTATGTAAATTAAATTACAAATTATTTGATAGACGAGATGTCTAAGTCGTTCGATATTATAAGCGGTTTTTGTTTTGGTAAAAATACTGCTAGTTGTTGTATTAAAATTGGTTACAGGTCTGAGTCCAGATTTATAAATAGTTTTTTCCAAGGAACATACAATTCTTTAATGTATGGCAAACATATTACACTAGAATGAGTTTCTGAGTCAGGTAAATCGTTATGTACTGTGGAATTGTCCATTTTATTCAAAAGGTACGTTCGTCTGTTACTAGTTACGGAATTTATAAGTTTTAAGGGATAGGAGTTATCTGTTAGAATTTTTGTAATTAAATTGATGTTGATGTTGTCCCAAAATGTTTTAATGTCCGAAATCGATATCTTTGAAAACTTTTTATATTTAGAAACAATTAGAAACAACAGTTTAATAGTTTGAAACTTTCGTATATTAACAAATTTAATAAACTATTATAAAATAAATTAGAAAATAACAAAATCATTTTAGATAAAAATATTATTGATAAATGGTTAAAAACACGATTTTTGCATATAAAAGTGAATTTTTTGAATTATACAGTTTTTTATGGAACGTATCGTTCTTGTAAAACTTAGTTAAAACAGGCGTATAAATTCTTATATCTTATAAGTCTGAACTAAACAATTTTCTTACATTTTACTGTTATTTTTACTTTTAAGCAATAGTTATAAATTAAGTGAATTTGCGTTCAAGATTAAAATTTACATTAAAATTGATCAATTAATAATTATTAATTAAAATAGACTTCATTTATTTAGTATCGCTGATAGTTATTTGTTCCTAAAATATTTATAGATTTAATTTTTTGTTTTTTTTTTTTTAATGTACACTCTTTAGTTATGATTAAAAGCAAGTCTTTAAAAACTAGAGAGGCCAAAAGTTTTATTGTATATAAAGAAATTTTTCAATAAAGCAAATACAATAAATTAAAAATAAGTAGCAAATAAAATAAAAATCAAAAACTTAACTGTTAAAATCCACGTGAAAGAAGTTGCTTTTACAGCTACACCACAGATATAATAAAATAAAACAATCTGATGGTAACACTCAATGTATATAATAACAATAAAAATTATTAATATTAACATGGCCATTTAAAAATAAATTCATGCTATTTCTATTACATTTTATATTATTATATGTACAAAATGCTAAATAAATTAAACTTCTTTATTATTTTCAGCAAATAATCTCTCCTGTCCCGTTGATCCTGCGCTTCGGGATCAACAATATGACCACCACAGCTCAGAGGAGGAATTAGAGGTGGGATTAGACTTTAATATTAATTAACCTATGTCTCGCGCTTATACAAATTTGGTTCGAGCCTTTTATATACGATATTTACCCATCTCAGAAAGGGTGCTATCTAATGCGAACATTTTATGGAATTTAGAGATACTTTTATGTAGGAAAGTTTGTAATTAAATTATGTGTTTGTTTTAAAATATCTAATTTGCCTTTACATATGTATATATATATTGTAAATATCCTCCCTGTCTAGTTCATAATCGCACTTTTTTATATCCTTTGTTGGCGAATGCTAAAAGCTGTCATGATTCATTTGTAAGATTATATTGATATATTTGGCTTTAGTTGTAATTTTGAGAAGGCAACATTTTTAATATTATGAAATAACCCCACAACGTTTTTGTACGTTTTCTCTAAATATAGCTTAATAATATTTAAATAAGATTATGAGATTATATTTCATAAAAAGCCGAACATTAGTATAGGTCGATGCTTGGATACAGACTTTTTTATACTACCTAGAATATGGTGTATAGTTTTCGATCTTCTGAAGCCAATTTGTTGACGTTAAGATTCAATTATTTGGTTTAAACATTCAATTCGAAAACAATTTAATGATTTTTTATTAATTTAAATAAAAACATTTAAATGTTTTCACATTTGTGTAGCAATTGTGATATTTCAGAAGTAGTGTGGATTCATGAAACCATAAACTTAATTATTTATTATAAAATGATTTTGAAAACTTGTTTGTAATGAATCAACCACGTGCTTTGTATGTGTAAATTGGATGGTTAATATTGGATTTCGCATACACTTTTATACGCATTTTAAAGTAATAGCTACTCGTTATAACGTTATTATTATCATATTATGATATGATTCAAGTAGGAAAATATTTACAATTTTTAGATAATGTGAAAATATTGTTTATATATTCTGACAAAGAGTTTTATTAAAAATATAAATTACAATTATCTTTCCCGAAGTAAAAGTTTGTTTTCGCGTAAAAAATCAGATTTGCTCATTTTGCGTTTTCTCGATATTTCAAGTCATTTGAAAGCGATTGACACCAAATTTGGAAAAAGTATGTATTTGTGTTTGTTTGTACGGGAGCTGATTTATAAACTTTCGTCGACGTTTTCTCAAAAACGACCAATCCAATTCTATGTAATTTGATAGGGGATATAGTTTGTCACACAAATTGGCCAAGCCGTTTCTTTGTAATTAGCAGAAAAGTGTAAAAATTTTTGCCCATAACCTTGGAACGATTTTAAAAATTCAAAAACAGTTCGAAAGATATTGGTTGAGAAATGCGTTGATTAGTTTTTGGTAATTCGACCAGGTTTCTTCGCATTTTGATGAAACTTTATATAATGATTGATTCCATAGCCTGAAATAACATACTAAAATGTTGTAGACCTACGATAAGCGGTTGATTTATAAAAATCCGCCCTTAAGCAATTTTAGTTAGAATCTATGTCTTTCGTTCATGTGTACGATTCATGTTTGGTAGGTACCTACTGATTACAGTTAACGTCCACAATTAAATAAAACATATTTTAATACTCGAAATCGATGAAATGAAATGTATTGAACAAATTAATTTAAGTTATGCCATTACAGATATTATAAGTGTGTACGATAGACATCAATTGGCAATCACATTAATTTTTAGTGAAAGTCTAGTTTTGACATAATCAGTTGAACATTCAATTGAAAAAAAGTTGATTATCTATACGTATCGGGAAGTTTATTCTACTTACGATTATTATTTTTATTAGAAGTAATGCCGTAAAATAGACCAATGTTAGGCAAGACTATTTCACGTTTGTCTTCATGCAAATTGCTACTAAATACAGTCAAAATGCCATGTATTTGCGTTGTGATCAGTCGTTTTACACATAAAATGCAATTTTACTCATCATATCTCAAAGTTCCAGTTATGTTAACGTCGTTTTTAGACATTTGTACGTTTTATAGATTAGGTTTTCTATTTAAAACGCCCGCCTGCACGCCAACCGCATAGGATTTTGACAGTTTTTAGTATCACTTTAAATGAAAACTGATACATAACATAACCTTAAAGCTGGACTATTTTGCGGCATAATTGGCCCTATAGTATGAAAAGTCTGCTTCATACATAAAATCATTTTGATGCAAATAAGCACGTATTATATCTAGTTATCTTTATCAGGAGCAATTAAATTGATTTAAACAGAGATTAATATCATTAGTAGCGTTTCTGTTTATCTATGCAATATTAATAAAATAATACCCAACCGAATCACATTCGCAGCGCGCATACGAGTCTATAAATAGCACGCAGCGCGAGATACTGCCAAGCGCAGGGGTTCCAACGTGATTCCAGGATCTGGAATGAATGGGGCTAACAAGCTTTTGTGCAGGTTGATAATGCTTTTATTAATGCATATTATTTTCTGCGTGGGCATCTTGAACTCGTCATTGATCCATTTCCTTATATACTTTACAGTAATTTGTTTATTGCAAATTATTAATTGCTCAATGCAGTTTTTGAGAATATACATTATATAAGCAAGTGTCTTTTTCAATTTTCTTTTAAATAATCTTTGTTTTAGAGCAGAAATCGCCTTGCATAGGTGTTCGGTGCGGTGCAATAGTTTTAAATATTTGTGCAAATAATGAAGTTAATGGCTATTAAGGGTAGAAAAGTATTCAGAAATATATAACCAAATCTCACCAAACTATGGAGGGTCTATATTTTAGAAATAGCATATCGGATAACAAAATAATGTCAATTTACTTTTCTTTTTACTCTTTGTGGTTATTATTCAAATCATTCAGACACTTTTATTATTAGATAATACTAATCTTCATTTAGTAATTTACCTAATTGATATAACGCTAATATTCTAAATTATCCTGCTATACAGAATGTATAATTTCATTACTGCAAAACTATTCTTTGTATACTTGATACTAATCGTAAGAAATCCTTGGTAATCAACTTATTTACGATGCACTTTATATTTATTTGAAATAATTTTCTTACTCTAGTGAAGGTATCTATTTGTTGATTAGGGCCTTGTTGATGTGGTGGTTATGAGTAAACTTTAAAAAAATGTATGTATTCGAGAGCACGGATCAACCGATTTGAATGATTTAAAAAACATGGGACTCCTATTGATAGAAAGATATGCTGATTACTTGTTGGAGAATGCAGGCCTAGCCTTTTGAAGATACGGGGCAAAAGCGCAAAAAATGGAAATTCATAGAAACGGAACGTCCAATTTCAATGATTTCAAAAATGTTTCAAAATAGCGCAATCGAAAATTGCGCCTTGATATATTACAAATGACACCCTATATAAAGACCTAAAAATGAAAACTATTAATGAAATGATAAAAGAAAGGAGCAAAAAATACCACGAAAAACTACCAGATCACCCAAACATATATTTGAAGAATTAAGCGCGGAATATCCCACTTGAAGATTGAAAAAAAATGGCCATACGATCTTAAATAAAATGTCAAAAATAAAAAAAGATATCTCATAGGAGATAATCTCTTGAATGTATTTACACTCAGCATATTGTCTTAAAAAATGTATATTATTTTGATTGGCAATAAAACTATGTAAATAAAATAATGCATTGACAAAATAAAGAATTTATTAGATTTTTGGGAGCACAGGTAGAGCGGTTTCGGAGACCCAAAAAAAAACTTGAACTAGTGGTGTATGGCATCGTGCCTCAAGGCGCAAATTGCTGGTACTTCCGTACCTTAAACGAAATGTTCGAGTAATATTAAATGTTTTCAAATATATTATTATAAATACTGATAAGAATTATATAAACTAAATTACAAAGTTAAAATTATTTAATTAGAGTATATAAGTGGTCTTTAGAACTTAAGCCAGAATTAAAATCAAAATCTGAAATTTATTTTTTATATACAAAAAAAACTTTTTGAAAAAAAATTTGGAATATTTTTTTCCAAAAGCAATTGTTTTGTCAACACAAGCAGAAATTTTTTTTGAAGCATTTAAATCGGATGCTTATTTCTCTCAAAAACTGCTATTTTTCGTACATTTTTCGTGGACGGAAAAAAGTGGGTTATACAAAACACACACACACGCACATCCATTTTTTCTGAGGTTTGCCAATATGTTCAGCAACTTCTGGAACGTGAAGATATGCAAAATTTTTTATTTAACTTACTCTGAAAGTTAAGTTATTTGGCGGTCAAGAAATGATTATTAGATATATTCACATCAAATTATCAGATATTTTATAGATTTTAATAATAAGTATAACTTCTGTTTACATTTCTAGAGTGCGATGCAGCGCTTACGATATTTTGCCTCTAAAACAAATACGCAGAGCAAGAGCTTTTGAAAAAAAAAATCAAAATGTTCAAACAATTTCAAATATTTAACTATCCGAGCCATATTATCTAACATTCATAATTCTCGTAGTCCGCCACATTAATTCAGCATTGAGCACAGTCTTGAGCTGCTAAATTATTTGCTCGCGAATCTTTAGCGCATACGTAATTAATTTAATTTGCATATATGCACATTCGCTATGAGCTATGTACGGATGGGCACTCCGTCACACAAAATTTGGTTTGCTTTGACATTGATAAGAATTTAGAGAGACTACGTGATCAGTTCCACATGACGTGTAATGATATTCTTTGACATTGAAAATTAGTGTTTAAGTTTTGTATATATGCACGCTTTTGTGCTGTGTTGGGACGTTAATGTTCAATGTAGTTATTTTTGCTATTTAAAGAAACAGGATTTCGTAATTTTGAGCGTATGCATTTACAGAATTCACATTTTATTTTGGCACGATCATCAAACAGATTCAGTTACGTAAGATGAGTTACAATTGATTAAATAAATTGTTACAAGCAAGTGAAAACCATTACCAATTTGTAAAAATGACGTATACACCAAAAAATTTAATATCTGTTTACTTGTGTATAGAAGAAAGTCAAATACATATTCTCAACAAGCTTTTATTACTT